CTGCGAACGCTGCAACGGCCGCCACGTATACTTTGAGCGTGGATGGGGACCGTCCCTTATCCAACAGCTCTTGTAGGAAGGAGAGCAGATGCGCCACCCCGCATGTCCGCGGGTCCAGACCTCTGTCGGTGCACCATCCAGAAAACACCGACCATTTAGACGCGTAGAGCCTTCTCGTGGAAGGGGCTCTAGACTGCGTGATCGTGTTCATTACTCCTTCTGGCAGGGCAACGAGTACCCGTTGATCAACCATGCGTGCAGAGACCAGCGCTCTGGATGGGGATGCCAGATTGTGCCGCGAGCCTGAGAGAGGAGATCTGCCCTCACCGGAATCGGCCACGGAGCTGTATGTGACAGCCGTGCTAGCTCCGGGAACCAAATCTGATTCTCCCAACGCGGGGCTATGAGGAGCACCGAGTGGCGCGTTTCCCTGATTATCTTGATCACCTGTGGTAACAGAGAGACCGGAGGGAAAGCATATAGCCGGAGGCTGGGCCAAACCTGGGCCAGCGCGTCCTCGTCCTTCGAGAAGAACGTCGGGCATTGAGCGTTGTCTTTTGACGCAAATAGGTCGACTTCCGCCCTGCCGAATAGGCGCCACAGTTTCTGGACCGTTTGGGGGTGCAGGGACCATTCCCCTGGGGGAACGTTGTCCCTGGACAGTTTGTCTGGGCCGTCGTTCAAATGGCCAGGCACGTGCGCCGCCCTCAGCGAGCGCAGGTGCATCTGAGACCAAATAAGGAGGCGTTCCGTCAGATTGCAGAGATTTCTGGATCTGACACCGCCCTGACGGTTTACATAGGATACCACAGACATGTTGTCCGAGCGGACAAGAACATGTTGGTCCTGTATGAACGGGAGGAAGCGCTTCAGCGCATTCTCGACCGCTATCATCTTCAGACAGTTTATGTGAAAACACCTCTCTTGGTCTGACCACTGGCCGAAGACCGGTCTGCCCTCGAACAGCGCGCCCCAACCCCAGTTGGACGCGTCTGTCGAAATGACTTTCCGATAAGATATGGTTCCTATCATCACTCCCAGCTGGTACCAGTCGGCCACTAACCAGGGCTGCAGAGCCGCTATGCAGGTCTGAGTCACTCTGATTTTCTAACCGCCAGAAACCCAAGCTCGGCGGGACGCGCGAGCATTCAACCAGCGTTGGAGCGGGCGCATGCGCAGTAAGCCCAGCTGGAGCACCGCTGCAGCTGATGCCATACAGCCCAACATCCTTTGAAATGTTTTCAAAGGGAGAAAGCTGTCCTTCTGGAAAGACGCGGCTAGGTGGCGAACACGGAGCGCGCGCTGTGCCGATAGACGAGCCGACATGGTCACCGAGTCCAGTTCTATTCCTAAAAAGGAAATTGACTGGCTGGGTAGTAATGAGCTCTTGGTCCAGTTGACCGTGAGGCCCAAGCTTTCCAGGTGACTGAGAAGCACTGTTCTGTGAGATAGCAGCTCTGTCTCTGACTGTGCCAAAATCAGCCAATCGTCCAGATAGTTCATTATTCTCAGCCCCTGACTTCTCAGGGGGGCGAGCGCCGCGTCCATGCACTTCGTAAATGTACGGGGTGCTAGAGACAGGCCGAACGGCAGGATGGTGTATTGATATACCTGACCGTCGAAGGCGAATCTCAAAAATTGCCTGTGACGGGGTATTATCTGAATCTGAAAATAGGCATCCTTCAGATCTAGAGAAATAAACCAGTCCCTCGGGCGAACGTGCGCGAGGATTTTCCTGGTCGTAAGCATTTTGAACGGTCTTTTCACAAGCACTTTGTTCAAATGTCTCAGATCTAGGATAGGTCTATTTCTGCGTGAAGTAGGTGTGCTACTTCCGCATTCACTATCGTCGCGGTCCGGGCTCGAAAGCGCGGGGGACGGCGAATGAATTGAAGTGTATAGCCCTGCTTTATTGTGCTCAGCACCCATTCTGAAATCCCCAGGGTAGATTCCCACGCAGCTATGTGAGCCGCTAGGGGGCGAATGGCCTCCGGGTTCAGATCGCCGCCATTTGCCGGCTTGTGAAACTGAGCCGGAGCTGAAAACGTGGCGCGCGCTCTCTCTGTTCTGGGCAACGGCTGCTCGCTGAAAGCCGAAACCGGCTGATTTATGTGAGATGTCCCAATCATAAGGGATGGGGAACCTTTTCTCCTCACTTTTTGACGCGCGAGCGGCGCTTTGGGCGGAAAAGCGTTCTGTAAGCGTGAGCGCATTTGCGCGGGCACGAGACTTACACGTGTATTTGACGTCCCGATCAAAATGGATGGGGAGCGTCTTATTAACGCCCTGCGTTTTGTGATAGCACTTAAACGCACGGGCGGCGCCCGGGGGGAGGTTTGTATTAGTAAGCGTGAACGCTCTCTGGCGGGCACGGGACTTACATTCAGAACCTGCTTTCTTGACCGTGTAACAGAGCGGGCAGATAGTGGGCACAGACCTGTGGACACATTTCTTATATTCAACACTCGAGCGGCTTTTCTGCGCTTTATGAGAGTGTGCTCTGTGGGTGACACGATATTTGAAGTGCTTGTGTGTAGGGGTGAACACTGGGGCGTGGGCACTTTCACTACACTTAAAACACTGACGGCGTGAGCCGGACCAGACATAATACTCTTTTTGAGATTTATCTGGGTCGCCGTAAAAACGGCGTTTGAGTGCAGGCGAGAGGGTGGACAAACCGGCTCGTTGGCTGCTAAATGAACCACTGCAGTAGCCTGTTTGAAGGGGACTGACAGGGAAATAAGCTTTGACGGCGGTCCGGCCGTGGCGGGACACGCGCGTCTTTTCTCTCTTTGTTAGGAGGACTTCGCGTGCTCAGACTTCAGCGTGATCTTCTGTCGAGGCCCCCTGGGGGGCGGCGGTCTGTGACGGCTGTCTGAGCCCGACCTAGGGTGGCCGCCCTGACGTCGCTGCGAAGGCTGGGGGTGCGCTGGACGCTGGGTGCTAGCTCGTACAGGAGGCTGGCTTTGTTTCTCGCGAGAGCGGCCTGTAGCAGAGCTCGAGCGTCGCGGCAGGAAGAGGTTCATGGCCTGCGTGGTCTTTTGTACTTCAGAAAAACGGTCAACGATCCTGTTTACCGCTGGGCCGAAGAGACCAGTGGGGGAGAGCGGCGCGTTCAGGAAGGTGGCTCGCTCAGCTTCCCTCATATCCGCGAGCGTCAACCAGAGGTGCCTCTCTGTTACAGTCAACGCGGCCATGGCTCGTTCGATGGCTTGAGATGGATCCCGGCCCTTCTCATTCCATTCGCGGAGGAGGTCGGCTTGCAGGATCTGTAACACAGCCATGGAGTGGAGAGCAGACGCGGCCTGGCCGGAGGCGGCATATGCGCGGCCGACCAAGGCGGACGTGGCTCTGCAGGCTTTCGACGGGAGGGCTGACCGAGACCGCCATCTCGCGGAGGGCGGGCAAAGGTGCGCTGCGACCGTCTCTTCCACGGGGGAATAGCCGTGTACCCTTTCTCGGCGGCGCCGTCCACTTGGGAGAGCGACGCGGAGGCCTGGGACTGAAGTCTCGAGGAGAATGGTGCATTCCAAGACTATGAAGTTCCGGCAGGAATGGAGCGGGCCTGCTCGCTGAAGCTGCACAGCGGCGACTTTGAAGGAAACAGCCGTCGAGCCTGTTCGGCGCGGGTTCCTTTGGCAGCGACCACTCGAGCCCGAGGCGGTCGACGGCCTGCGTTAGCAGGCGCATAAGTTCCGCGTCAGCTCCAGCGCGGGAACGGCTAGATTCCTGGATCGACGAGGAGCCAGAGTGAAGCGACCATTCCTCGCTGTCCGATGCCAGGATGGAGCAGCAGTCTCTTGTGGCGTGTTCCTCGGCCTCCTCCTCAGACGCAACGGCAGTGAGGCTCGTGAGCGGCAGCTGCGCGTCGGGGAGGGGAGGCGGGAAAGGCGAAAGCGGGGCTCGAGGGAGATCCTCCGGCGAGCGCGTCGCTGTGGCCACGGGCTCCGGCTGCCTCAGGGAACGGCGCTTCTTCCTGCGCGGTCCCACGGAGGGCGGAGCGGCTGCATCCGGGTTGAAGACTTCGAGTCGAGCCCGTAGGGTCGACAGCGGAAGTGCTTCGCAGAGCTCGCAGCCCCCGGACGCGAGGGCGAGCTCTGCATGTTCCAGGCCCAGGCAGAGAGCGCAGATCACGTGGCGGTCTCCAACGCTGAGCGGGGCTCTGCACGAGCCGCAGGAAGTGCGAGGCATCTTTAAAAAGACACTCGCGCTCTTTTAGAAATAGAGTTTTGCAATGTAAAAAGGATACGTCGCCGGATAGCGTAGCTCGCACGGATGGCTGAAGGTGGCGAAGACGGCCGGCTTCCTCAGCGCTGTCCTAAGCTGGCTGTTCGCTGTTCGACGGCGGCGGTGGCTTCTCTCTGATCCAGCGATGCAGAGAGCTCGCTGAAGAGTCGAAAAATCAGGGAAGTCAGCCTACAGCCCCTTCTTTTATACGCTAAGCCACGCCCATTCTGGCGGGCTGTGACGCTATGAAGGCGCGAGCGCCCTTCATTGGGCGTGACGTCACGCGGGGCTCACTGGTAGGCTGCAGCAGATGCTAGCAGGGCAGCCAATGAGCACGCCAGATGGCCTGCTCTAGGTCTGCTAGCTGCTGCACTGCGTTGACAATGAATACAAAATTAAGGATCATTTTTTGGCTTCAATATCTCGAGAAGATGAATCTTTCCCGTAGCGTAGCGTAAGGTAAACTTACGCAATACGAGAGAACCTCTCGTGAGAGAACTACAGTTGTAAATAGATAAAGTGCAATAAAATAAACAATTGAAAGTGTATTTGAATGTTTTCTATCCACTAGTCAGAAAGATCAGTTATGGAAACAAAATACTCTAAATTGACTAGGGCCTGTAAAAAATAGATAGATAAATAAATGAAAGACGTGTTTTTTTGTTATTGTCTTGCCTTAATTAAACGTGGCCATGAATTGATAAGTCGTGGGAACAAAATCTTAATTTGTGTCCAAAATATCTTAAGGTGTGTATTTAAGAAGACCATCTCACCAAAGAGCCATGGTTGTTACTAGCATGATGATGCTAGCTTGGAATACTCTGTGTTGAAGACAGTGATGATATCTCCCACAGAAGTAGTTCTGGAAGAAAAATATAATATGCAGTCATATTTGTCACATTCATTGTAGAGAATGATAAGAAATGTGATTTTCACATACTTTGCTTGACTGCAGTGGCGGTGACTTTGGTGATGGAAGTTTTGAATGAGGTGTGTTTTTCATGTTGATTTTCCTGTGACACAAAAATTGCAATAGAACAACAGATTTAAGATGATTACATGAGAGCACATACATCACAAATCACACACATTAACGAAAACTGCAACAAAAGTTAAGCAACAGTGCAAGCCAAGTACAAGTTTACATTCAAACTGGAATATCACCAGTCAGCAATTGTGGATGTAAAAAAATATATAATACAATATGCTTGTAAAACATGTTCCTATGGAGTTTGATTGACTAAAGGAACTGTGTCCTCAAACTGCTGATTACAGCTCTCTTATGACAGTGTTATGATTACCAGTAGTTGAATACTGACAGTTGAGATATTTACATAATTTGCGAACCTTAGCATTACAGTTCATTGTTTCCCAAGTCTGGAAGTATCTGAGAGACCAGTGATATTATTATTAATGATAAATAATACTAAATGAAAATATTTTCATTAACAAAATTTATTTTAGTTTAGGTTTTTTATACATGATATATTATAACCTGCCTGCATTAACCAATGATATTGGCACTAACCCTAGACTAGCAATAACACTAGACTGTGCAGAGAAAATTATAAACACTGAATGTTATTAAATTATGTCAGTTAGTGCATTAACTTTGGCAGCCCTAAAACAAAAGTTCTAAAATAACTAAAACTAAATTGAAAAATGTAAAGAAATTGAAAATTAAAAATATAATGAAATAAAAACTGAAATGATTCACTGAAAAATGCAAAACTATATTAATCCTTTCTGAAACATCATAATTTGCGAGTCGAAATTCAGCACCGGTAAATCGCCAATATGATACTAATTTAGATACTATTATATATTTTTTAATAATAGCTTGATTAAGTTTCATTTGTGTATTTTTCAGTTTCATTTTAGTTGTTGTGTTTTTGTCATATTTATTAGGTTTTTTTTTAAAGATGTCTTTTGTCACAGTCACCAGCTGGTGGGCCCAGGACAGCCACCAGAGGGCAATCCTCCCCAGACCTCTGCAATTCAGTCATTGATTACGTTTCCCTTAATCCTTTGCCCGGACTCATCAGTACTCATTGCATTCAGCTGTTGCTCATTAGCCTTGTTTATTCTGTCTGTATAAGCCTGGTTTACTCAGTCATTTTCTGCCGAGTCTTGCATGGGTCGCTGCTGCATTTCTGAGCATTCTGTCTTTGGCTTTCTTATGGTCATGGTTTCTGTTTTGCCCTGTTTTTTGGATTACCCAGTTTGCCTGAAATTTCTGCCAGGTGTTTGTTTTGGACTGTCTGCCTGTGTTTTGACCTCTTGCCTGGCTTTGGGATTATGTCTGTGTATTACCCTAATTAACTGCATTTGGATCCCCAACCTTTGCATCTCCGAGCAGTTTCGTAACAAGACCTCGCCAGCATGGATCCAGCAGTACGTCGTCGTGGCCGCCTTCATCAAGGAACTCACTCGCTTGAGGACCTTATCCAGGACTTCATAAGTTTTCCTAATTTCACTGACCTTCTAGACTTTGCCCTCATTGATTTCTTTTGTTTTGACTGAACAACCCCTTACAGTCAACGCTGATCCGGGATGGTTCTCGAGGATTGCTGAGCGAGTTCCTGGACTATGCCCTCCAGCTAACTAGGTCCTCCCTCACTATTGGTGAGGTAGAGGAGGACGCTTCCCCTAAACATTTTTTTTGTCGGGGGCAGTATCCACCAAGCTCCGATGGCCACAGAGCTTGGCCCACCACAGTCACCAGCATGTCCAGTTCTGTTGGTCGCTAGTCCTGTGCTTTCAGCGCCTTCCGGTCCGGTGGCCGCCATGCCAGAGTCTCCAGCCGTCATTTCCGCCACGCCAGTCTTCAGCTATCATGGACGCCACGCCAAGGTTTCCGGTCATCATGAATGGTGCACATGAAGCCATTAATGTGGTCCCTATGCTAGTGAGACTGGCATCTAGCTTGGCGGATTCACTGCTGATGTTGGTGAGAGCGGCTGGCATCCCGGTGGTCTCAACACTTCAGAGCTCAGTTGTCCTTAGTCTGGTCACCTTAGAGGGTTCATTGCCTGCGGCTCCACTTCCTGTAATGGCAGTGGCCATTTTGTGTGTTTGCGCCGCAAACTGCTCTTCAGCCCAGGTGTCCGTTCCAGAGCCCGCTCCAGCCAATGAGTCCACTATAGAACTACAGAACCCACTTCAGCCAGGGGGAAATCCTGCTGCTGTTTTGATTTGACACATTTTATAAACTCTTCACAAGTTCTCAGCTGGTCAAAATACCATCATGCGTATGCACATACAACGAGCGCATTATTTTGGATGTTTGTTTAAGTTCTGTTGCACAACAACAACAAGTTCTGTTTTCTTTAGGTTCAGTCTTAGTAAAATTACAGTGTGAATGCTAAGCGAACCAGCGTTACATGTATTGTATTCTTTCTTTGGTCAGGACCAAAATAACCAAGAGAACTGTGTGAACACATCCTTAGATAATGTGTGGACAGGAAACACTAAATCATGGACCTGCATGTGTGTTGAGAAAATGGGAAAGAGCATCTGAAAGAGAGAAATACTGTATGGAGAACTTAAGAAATTCCTTACCCTTTAGCAGGAGGGCCACTGTTGGAGCGAGTGCTGCCTAGCGTCTTCAATTTGGCCAGGCGAGTGTTCAAGACCTCAAGCTCTTGAATACGAGTCTCAAGGTTATCTGTGAGTTTACACAGCTGCTTCACAGCACCCACGTTCTCCATAAAAATCTGTTCCTTTAAGACAAACCGACCAACATTATTTTACATACTGTCCATGTCTAGAAATATTTACTACAAATAATAACAAATATCTGACAGACTCACTTTGTCCACCATAAGAAAATTATCGATCTTCTCCCCGTTTATGCAAGTGACATCACCCATCTCCCTCACAGCCGAAGGCAGGAGTTCTCGAACTTCCTGTGCTATGATTCCTAATCAAAGCGAGACGGATGACGGTGAGCGTCTGTCTTCAGAACATAATTTTATATAAAGTGCAGTGTATACACTAATTTAGGTTGTACCTGTTTCATGATGCTGGTCAATTCCCATCCTTGAGGCAAACTCCGGTTTATAATCATACTCCACAATTCTCATCTGAGCTATCCTCTTAAGCTGCTCTGTTGAGTCCACCTACAACATTGCAAGGCACAAGATATAATTCCTTTCACGCATACTGTCTTTACTAGTAAATTACCATTTAGAGATCATGTGTGAACAGTAAAAATCAAAAATAGTGGTAAATCAGTTTTCAAGTATGAAAAGTTGTAACATTATCAGTAAATTACCGGTATAATGATATTTGTGAACAAAGAATAGGATTACCAGTATGAGCATGTACAAGGTCTGAGCGCTGCTTCTCTGCAGTTACTATTGAGCACTACAGTTACGGCAGTATTATAGTACTACTAAGCTGATTTAAGGGGTTTAATGTGTGAAAGGGGCTAATGTGTTACTACTGTTACGTGGATGCAGATTGACGAACCCAAAAGCAGACTGAATGCTCTTCACACCATTTATTGAAGAAAAAAGGGGAAAACAAAGCCCACGAGGGGGCAAAACAAGACAGGACTCTGGTGACTAACTAGACAACGACACTGACAAAATACTAGAAAACAAACAACACTTCGAGAGATACTAACAATGACTAGACCAACAATGACTTTCAATGACAAGACTTTCACAAGATACTCACAAGTAACGTTTGGCAATGAACCGACACAAGACAGCAAACACAAGGGGATTAAATAAGGAGAATAATCAAGTTATAACAGGTGACACGAGTGAAGCAATAAAGACTGAATCAGGATAACAAGGGGGCGGGGTTAAGAGACGAGACAACACAAGCACATGGCCTTGACAATTGGCCATGCGCTTGTACACAAAACATTGGTTCTGTCATGATCCTGCCACAAGACCAGGAATAATCAATAACATGATGGCAGAATCATGACAACTACTTATATATAAGGACCCAGTTCGACCTACTAATACAATGTCTCAAATGTGTATCCTGGGATCAAGGGGTCTCTGATCGGATCTCTCGAGACTGAGAGATCAAATCAAATACCAGATCAAATCACTTGGAAAGCCATTAACATTAATTGAATGTCATCTTGTTTAGTTTGTGTTTGTAATAACTGTCAGAGAGACACACTCACTTCCTGAATGTTTTGTTTGGCCCTTCTGTCTGAGGGATGCATGACGTTGCCCATTATCTTGGCGTTCCCACAAACCACCAAAGCCTCATCGGGGCTGTCTGTGTTGATGCCGATCCTCCCGTGACACACCACAGACTCTGGGATCTGTCCTCTTTGCCAGAGCAGGTCACTATCATTCTCAAACTGACCTGGATTGGAGGCCTATAGATGGAGAGATGATAAAAGTTTGAGAACCACTTTCGTACACCGTCAAGACACATTGGGTGCATCTCATTCAGCTCCGTAGCTTTCTAGGTTGTGAATCAGTATATCATGTACACAAATTCAGGCACTGGTAAGGTCTCATCTCATTATCGGGATCGCTGGCGCATGTTGGCTGCCGCTTCTCCGTCCTGCTTTTTTAATGTTTTTATCCTAATTACTTTTAAACAGTAATAATTTTATTACTACAAGTTCACTTTATCTTCTTAGACACCTCAGAACTGGAAATCACAACGGTATCGCAACGGTCAATGCATGAATGAATAATAATAAGAAGCGGATAGTCTGTCCAAGAAATCTCATGTAAGGCAAACACCAGAGCAAGCAACAAGAGCCCAATTCAACTACGACCATCGACCAGATGAACAACACTCTGATCGCGAGGAAAAGGACATACTTACTTGCTGGAATCGGACTGGAACTGTGACGCCTGGCATCTGAGTGCAAGCAAGCGCTAGCTCTGTGCTGGCGCACCACGCCTGAATCATGCCACCGCTTTGCTCCGCTGCTGACTTCTGCCCACTTCAACAACCACCGCTAACTGGACTGCATTAACTTCTTCCGAGAAACTGGACTATGTCGCCGTCCTCCACACAGAGGCTCTGGTCGTATGTTCAATTACAACTTTTCAACCCCAAGCTCTATTCCATCCATCTGGTCTAATTCGCGCACTGCAACTACCACACTACGTCATCACAACAAACGGCATGTGCACCTATCTAATCTCCGCTCCCTTTCTCGGTCCTCTCAACCCATCACAAAGCAACATCACCTGAAACTGGCCTTGCTCAATACCCGCTCACTCAACAATAAAAGTCTAATTTTAAATGAATTCATAACTGACAATAACCTGGATTTCCTTTGTATCACTGAAACTTGGCACAAACCTCTGGACTATTTCTCACTCAATGAAACCACACCCACAGGATATACTTATATGGACAAACCTCGACCTGAGGGGTCGAGCCTCAGGTCGAGTTCGCTCCGAACCTCATCAACTACTACAATGAAATTTCGCTCCGACCTCATCAACTACTACAATGAAACACTCTCCTCCTGTCTCGATCATCTGGCTCCCACCAAAACCAAAACTGTCTCATTCACTCACTCTGCTCCCTGGTACACTCCTGATCTGCACAAAATGAAATCCCGTAAGCGTCAGCTTGAAAGACTCCTTAGGAAAACTGGTTTAACTGTTCATCTACAAGCCTACACAGATCACCTTCAGCAGTATAAGGAAGCTCTTAACACTACCCGGTCCACTTACTACTCGCACCTCATTCACTCTGGTTCCACTAACCCCAAGGCTCTCTTCTCCACAGTAAACAAACTTCTCAAACCCAGTCACAATACCACCAACTCATTCACAACTGATAAATGCAACTCTTTTCTTTCATGTTTTCAGACTAAAATTGACGCCATTTACAACAATCTGTCCTCTTCTTCTATCACCACTATCTGCCCTCCCACTCCGTCATTTGTTCCTCCCCCGTTCACCTCTCAGTCCCTGTCTCAGTTCTCCCCTGTGTCGGCAGGGGAGCTGTCCAAAACTGTATCAGGAATGAAAACATCTACATGTGTCCTGGACCCCATTCCATCCAACCTCATCAAGGACTGTCTACCGGCTATCTCCACACTCATCACAGATATCATTAACTCCTGTCTCAGCTCTGGCTCAATCCCCCCTTCACTCAAACTGGCTGCTGTCACCCCCATCCTCAAAAAACCCGGACTCAACCCCGACATCATGTCAAACTTTCGGCCCATCTCGAATCTCCCCTTTCTGTCTAAGATACTAGAACGCACTGTCGCCAAACAACTTAAAACTCACCTCTGCTCAAATGACCTTTATGAACCATTTCAATCTGGTTTCCGATCACATCACAGCACTGAAACAGCCCTCCTCAAAGTCACCAACGACATCCTCCTCTCTGCAGATGCTGGTCACCTCACCATCCTCATCCTCCTTGATCTAACAGCGGCTTTTGACACTATCAACCACACCATTCTTCTCTCCCGGCTTGAATCTTGCCTCAGTATCACCGGCACTGCCCTCTCCTGGCTCCATTCTTATCTCACCGGTAGACAACAATTCATCTACATAAACAACTGCACCTCCTCCACTGCTCCGCTGCCCCAAGGTGTCCCCCAGGGTTCGGTGCTTGGTCCTCTCCTCTCCATAATATACCTGCTTCCCCTTGGCAATATCATTCGCAACCATGGTCTCAACTTTCACTGCTATGCCGATGATGTTCAGCTCTACATCTCCACTAAATCCATCACCTCTGCCACCCACTCCACTATCAACAACTGCCTCACTGACATTAAATCCTGGATGCACACCACTTCCGTTAATGAAACATAGTGAGCATTGATGCTCCCTTGTTTTCACGGTGCATTGTGGGACTTTTTAGGGAGCCAACCTTTCAGTACACTGGTAGAATTTTGCAATTGAGACAGCCCTTAAATTTGCAGACCTAAACTAGGGAGCTGATCGAGATGCACCCACTGTCAAAGGCAACGGAAGGCTTCCACCACTAAAGCAGCAATCTTTTAGGATAATGTGTGCAAATCTGGAGTTGTGATATTCTGTATATTATATCAGTAAAGTAGTCTGTTATTATTTCTTATGGATACGCAAAAGTTTTGACCATAACTCTGTGGAAGTATATGTGGAGATTTATTGCTAGATACAGAATTTAGTTGCCTTTTAGTTCTTAAGGTCTTCAGTCCAGCCCAGGGTTATAGTACAAGAGCAGGAACACTTACCCTGACGATGATTTTTTCAGAAACTTTAGCAACCAGCAGGAAACTGTCTTCTTTCACAGTAGCATACAGACCAACTGCCATCATAAAGTACCTATCAAGCATAAACAGTAACATACAGCACAGGTAGCATTGCAGCTTTCAGACAATACATTTCACGGATGCAAACTCATCATTAGTGAAATTGGTAACAAAGATGTGAGCCCTTATTGCCAAACCACATGTAACAATTTCTCACCCCAGACATATTTGAGAACTTGCAAATGCCTTGGTGGAATAATTGAATAACATCTCACAGCAAGAACTGGCAAAAAATTCTCTCTCTTATCAGTGTCGAGTGGTGACTTCCTTTAACCGGGTATGCTGGGTCACGCATCATGTCAAGAAATGCTCCCGATGCAGAAACGTTAGATGGGTTTATAATAAGCGAGAGGCTCAAGTTCGCTCTAGAGAGAATGCTTACTCTCATGACACATACAGTTGGTACCCAACCAGAATAATACTTTTTTAAAATTGGTGGTGTGTATTTGCTGCCTTTTACCGCTAAAAGGGGCTATCACCGACTTTGAAAAGAGTCAGTTTATTCTCTCTATTGCGTAATCTGGCGTGGCTCGTTGAGAACTGTTAGCAGATAAATTCAAGTGAAACATTGTAGATAGACGAATTCATAATCCCCAATACTGAAATTACAGTACAAATTTAGAACTGAAACAAATGTAGGCTTCTATTATTGCATCAAATTTAAGCAAAGTAGGCTAAACGTTAACATTGTGTGCCCAGTTTTTCTCTAGGCTAATCTAGAAAGGCTATGCATGTAAAGGTTATGTGTCTTATACCTCGTGTTATTTAAATTCGTTAGTAGGCCTAGATTTCTGAACTGAAACATAAGAGTGAAATAAATTAAACTAAATGATCGTAAAATTAAAACATTGCCAGGACTTGCTAACCGATCTTAGTTGGCAGCATTTGTGTTTTAGCATTAATTTAGAATTAAATTGGCGTACAGTAGGTTGTTATGATTAGCATAAGTTTCTTTAATAGATAATGAAAACATTTCAACATAAACATTGCAATAGAAAAATGTCACATCAATAAGGCTTTGCGTAAGAATAAGACGTTAAGCTCATGCTCATAAGACAGTGTTCAGACAATAGCTCTGTGGTTAACGCTTCAACATGAGCCTCACGGTGCTTCAAGCGGTCTGAGCTCCAATCTCAGCTCTACTATCCTCATCATTTTGTTTCTAGTTTAATATGCTATTTGTCAAAATAGTGGAGCGGCTAAGTGATATAATCGTTCAGTTTATGATACAAGCGTGAAAATTGGCATGAGCAGTCTCCATGGGTCACTTGACAAGAAAATTGTCCGAGCCACTTGAAATTTCAAGATGGCCGACATTTTTCAAGATGGCCGACACCTTAGTGGAGCAGTTGGTTTATTTGGTGATACAAGCATGAAAATTGGCATGAGCAGTCTCTGATGGTCACTAGACAATAAGCCACCCACAGCTACTTGAAATTTCAAGATGGTGGCCATTTTTCAAGATGGCCACCACCTTAGTGGAGCAATTAGGCTTAAGAAATCATTTAGTTGGTGATACAAGCATGAAAATTGCCATGAGCTGTCTCAAAGGGTCATTTGACAAGAAACTGCCCACAGCAACATAAAATTTCAAGATGGCGGCAATTTTTCAGGATTACTGCCGCCCGCCATGTGGATCTTTAAATGATACATGTTCTCATAGAAATCTATTGGGTTCCTCAAGAGACTCTGTCAGGAGAGGTAGTTTGACTGTGTTTTGTCTGACTCCTGACCCATGACCTGTCCAGTTTGGTAAAGCCTGGAGTAGCCTCCCACCGGCATAGCTCTCAGGGTTCATTGAGGTACACAAGCTCCCTTACCACGACAAGGTTACAGTCACAAGGGAGTTTTTTTTTAAACTAACAGTTATTAAACATGTCAAATTAACACGGAGAGGTGGGGAAACAAAAATAAGATTAATAAATTAGCACAGTTGTGGTGCTGAACGGACAGTGCACCAAACAAAAAATTGAACAATGAGTCAATGACTAATACTGAATGTCAATAAGAACAGATCCAGAGGCAACAGCGACTCTGGCTGACACAGCCATGGAACCATGACAAACAGAAAGTATCTATGAGAAAATGTATCATTTAAAGATCCACATGGCGGGCGACAGTAATCCTGAAAAATTGCCGCCATCTTGAAATTTTATGTTGAAATTTCAAGTGGCTCGGACAATTTTCTAGTCAAGTGACCCATGGAGACTGCTCATGCCAATTTTCACGCTTGTATCATAAACTGAACGATTCTGCCAAACATAAGCACTTAGCCGCTCCACTAAAAATAAAAACTTCTAATATGTTCATTTATTGATTCGAAACACTTTTCGGAGCTTTGTTATCCATTGTCTGTCATTTTTGAATGTCATTAGGCGTTTAGACGATAACATTGAAGCCTACACACTGTTAACCGATGTTGGCCGACAGCGTTTATGCTTTACCGTTCTTGATCCTTACGGTAAATAGGTAACAGATTATTAAAAGTCAAGCGTGTTGTTTAATTATTAAAGGCACATTACAACATAAATTTGCTACATTCCAGTATAGCCTCTGTTGCGCTGCACAGACGACAAAACCCGAAGGTGCTGTTGAAGGCAGATTAACAGCTGATCGCACCAGAAAATAAAGATAAAGCTTGTCTTTAATCTGCTAAATTATTATTATTTTGTGAATCATTCACAAATTTGAGATGAATGACAGTGATACCCGGCCATAGCAACGAAAGAAATTTTTCAAAACCGATCCATACATTGAACAAATCAGAAAAAAAAGACTGTTGACTTCTACACAAAATAACAGACTAACTAAATAGTATTGCTTTCAATATACAAACCAATGAAAATGTAAAAGAACACTAAAATTAATTCAGTTTAAAACCCCATCGCACATTTCAAGGTTTAAATAAAGTGTCAGGACAGTTTAGGCTAGTGTTGCCACCTGTGCCGGTTTTACCGGGATTGTCCTTCTTTTTAATAACCTGTCCCGGGAAATTTATCCACTCTCCCGGGACACTAAATGTCCCGGTTTTCGAAAGGCTACATGAATATGTATATTCTATTATCTATTTTCTCTCCACTTGAAATAGCCAATGCGTTGTGCACAGAGTGGTCGGCAGAGGCGGACAGAGTACAGAGCTTTGTTACTTGAGTAAAAGTACAGATACCCCTTGCTAAATTTTACTCAAGTACAAGTAAAAGTACTACATTCAGATGTCTACTTAAGTAAAAGTACTAAAGTACTTGTTTTTAAAGGGTCACTCCACCCATTTCAACATTAATCTTTATTGAAAGTGGGTTATATATGTAGTCGAAATGTAAAAGAAATTTTAAATTTGGTGCCCTCTTGACCGAGAAAAGACAGAAAATAACTTTGGGGCGCATTTGTATGTAAGACAACAACTCCCACAATGCACCATGTTGCACAGCTCCGCAAGCCACTCCCACTAATCCAGAACAGCGCAAACATCAGAGAAATCGCTCTTCCGTCTACAAGAAGGCTAGCTGCCAAATGAGTTTAAAATTCATTTCACAAAAAATGTCTAGTTAGTTGTGGCGAGCAGGACGAGGGCGAGGGACGTGAGAGGACGACGCGAGTGATAATGAATGGCACCTGTGCAGCGGTCTCATATCTCTCACGGAGGAGCGGAAGCACAAAAGGAACAGGCCTGATTTTATGTTTTGTTTCTGTTGTGTGTGGCCAGCTGGCTTATACTTTTGTTTTGTATTTGTTTATTTTACTATTAAAACGTTTAAATGTTCGCCGGTTCCAGCCTCCTTCTTCCCACAACAACGAACCCCGTTACATTGGCAAACTCATTAGTGAATTACTCGTTTGTATTTCTTTCTATATGGTGAATTATTGCATGATACCTGCATGTTCAGTCAGGCGAAACTAGGATGGTTCACATCACAACACAAACGTCCGTGTGGTCGTCTGATTCAGAGATTTCGTCCAGGAGAAACTGCCTTGTTGAAATTCTCTGCAGCAGACGGACTCTATCTGTGTCCGTAGCGCACAGCGAGAGCACAGGCACCAGCAGTCCGCCCAGCTCAAGCCAGCCCGGGCTCCTCGTCCGCGACAGGCAGCCGCCTCCTGTTCCACCATCAGCCTCAGCTGCTCTTCACTATATTGGGGCTCGTAAAGATAGCCACGAACAGCGGATTCGAGCAGCAGAATTTCAAAATCCTCTTCTTCCATATCATGTTTAGTTTCTTCCGTCATTGTCGTAACTTCCTATATCCACAGCGCTTGTTAGCTTAGCTTATAAACAAGATGGCTGATATTGCTTTCAGTATCTGCAAGTGAAGTCCCACCCACTGATCTGTGATAGCTCTGTTAGCGCATTAGGTCCAACCCCCTATGGGCGGGTTTGAAAGGGTGGGAATTTGTGCTTGTAGTCTATACAGAAATCCCCCCTTTTTACACTTCCTCCTACAATGACGTCAAATGACGATTTTTGCGTCATTGTAGGAGGAAGTGAAAAAGGTAAATAGTAGATTTCTCTCGTCTCAGGGGAAAATGAAAGAATGTTGCACGACCATTCAATAGTATGACTGGTTGTCTAACAATGGACCTCTTAATGCAAATGGGTGGAGTGACCCTTTAAAAGTACTTGAGTATCAAGAGTACAAGAGTAAATTTTCTAAATATTGCATTACTAATCTACTGCCACAGTGTTTACATTTATGCACAGAAACGTCCTACATGGAGTTATGAAAAATGTTAATGTTAATACCTTGGAGAATGTAAAAGGAATTGAAAGTAAAATCAAGTCATTTTCATCTTTTTACCATGTTGCTTTATTTAATTTAATTAAAAATTTGGGGGGTCCCATCTTTAAATGCGGGGACAACACACACACACCACATGTAAGGGTGGCGCTGCCAATAAAGCACCTAAAAGCTGTCACAAAGAACCGGCAAAAGGAATGATTATGAATATGTAAAATATAGCAAGGAGATATTTTAATTGTTTATTAATAAACACTTGTTAATAAACTAGTGTTTTCTT